GAAATACTTCCATCAAACTGGTCAACACAGCCTTCATGTCATTTTCTCAGTTATTGTTTTAAAACGTTCACATTCTACTCTTAGAAAGATTCACTTGTACCCCTACAAGATAAACCTCAGAAGTGATTCCTCCAATCCCCCTCCCTCCACCCATCCCCCCTCCCTTCTCCCTCCCTGTACCCGGCGCTGATATGGCTCCTTAGGATGCAGTGTCCGGAGTTGTTCCCCTCTTCTCTCATTGGTCTTTTCCTCTTCTTTCCAGTTTTCCACAATATTATGGATGTTCACCCCTCCTCAGACCTACTCATTTGGATTCAGCCCCAAGCTCTGATTCATGCGTTCTGTGAGAAAACATATCTAATTCTGATCTCTCCATTTGTCTATCTTAGAATCCCATACGTTCTCTCTGACATTTCCTGTTTGATGTGCAAAAATCCAAGTTTGAAATTAAAACCTAACTCATCATTTTCCTTCCCAAATTAATTCCCCATGGAATGATGAAAAGGCAACATGCTATTTCCCGTCATCCAAACTTGATGACTCGATCATCCCTGACTTCCCAAACTTTGTACATTGCCTTTCAACTCAGTCAATATGTTCTGACATCCTTTTTTTTTTTTTTTTTCTAATGTGGGACACTCTGTGAATTTGTGTGTCATCTTTGTGCAAGCGCTGTGCTAATGTTCTCTTTATAGTTCCAATTTCAGTGTATGTGCCGCTGAGGTAAGCACAGTCCTCCCTTCTTAGTAGATGTTAGTTTATAACTAGTTTCCTTCCCACTTTCTACCTGTCTTAGATCTTTGAGCAGCATGAATATGATTTTCAATTCCTTAATTAGCGTATTACCTTTTGTCTCAGGTGGGGTTGTGCTACCCACCCCAATTCACTTGACTGTTCCGTGTGCATCTCTAGATGCACCTCTCAGATGGCCTGGCCATTCTTGATGAGTTCCTCTTCCTTTTACAACCACCTGCTTTTGTTTAATGTTATTAGCTCTTAGAAAAATTGAATTGTCTTACTTGTGTATTCAAATCCTACATGTCTAAATCCTTTAGCGTTTATTCTGTTATTCATATATTATTCATCTACTATTTATTGAGTTACATGCTAGGTGTAAGCATTGAGCTGGGCACTAATCACAAAGAACCCAGCTCATAACAAGGCAAGATCTCTGCTTTCAAGGAAACTTACGTTACTGTGAGGGGAATCTCACTGGTAAATAGATGATTATGATAGGATGTGATAAATTTCATCTCGCTTTCATCTGTAAACCATCTCAAACTACTTTGCCTCCTTCAAAGATACCTCACTAGGCACTTAATTACATTATTAGCTTTTATTTGTTCTCCTATTATTGATATCTTTTAATGTGTTAACTTATTTCCTTGATTACACTGTAGACTCCTTAAGGGTGGAGAATAAATTTTGTGTAGCTGAATGCACCCTATAGCCTCTGGCCCACAATATTTCATATAAAAAGTACATGTTGAATACCCAGCAATTTATAAGAGAAATACATTTAACCTTTATGAACCTTCCTTATGCTCTACATAACCATTTCTCTGTTCACATAAAATATAAGAATAGAGAGAAGGTGATGTTTTTTCATATTCAGTTTTATGTTGGAATGCCAAGTTTAAACATGTTAATTAAATTACTTATGCTGCTTAAAGAGTAATATGCATTGCAAAATGTTAGATGCATATGCTTCAGTTTTCCCCTTAATATAAAATACTCAATAAACATTAAAAATCAAGAACATAAATTAGAATTATAATTATGAAATTTCTGAAATATCTGCAAAAATAAGCCAATAATAAAACAATAGTTATATTGTATAACAAGATGTCTTTATTTTTAAAAAGCACATGTTTTGCTAATATAGTTGAACTTATGAAGTGTTAACTGTATGAAAATATTTTTTCTGTAGTAATTTTTAAAGTAAATATAAGTGAACTATAACTGTCCAATATTCTCGTCCATTTAAAAATGTTATTATTGCATTTTAATCTAATCCTAGCTTATTCCCAGATGTTGATTAGAATACATCTTTTTAAACCTACTTTCTATAGGAATTCTTCTTTTGCTTTAATTTTTAAAAATAGCTTTATTATGCTATAATTGCTCATAAATTAAACTATGCATCTGTGAAGTATAAAATTTGATATATTTTGATATATATACAATGATATATATACATATATACCAATGAAGCTATCGTAACAATCAAGATAGTGAAAATATCCATCACTCTCCAAAGTTTCTTCATTTCCCTTTGTAATCTTCCCACCTATTCCGTCTCCCCCATCTTCCCTGGGAAAGGCAGCCACTAATCTCTTTTCGGTCAGTACAGATTTGCATTTCTAATAACTTTATGTCAATGAATTATACCCTCTTGTCTGGCTTCTTTCACTTACTGTTTTGAGATTCTTTGATTTAACAGCACTTCTCTACCTTTTTATTGTTGAGTGGTCCTCCACTGTATATTTATACCATAGTTTATGTATTTCTTAGTTGAGACTAGTTGGGTGTTTGAGTTATTTTCAGTTTTTGGCTATTACAAATAAATGCACGTGTATATATGCTTTCCTTTATCTTAGATAAGTATCTCAGAGTGAAATGACTAGGTTGTGCACTAAGATATTGAAAAGCTATCTTTCAAAGATGTGTCATAAATTTATGTTTCAATTTGCAGTGTATGAAAATTCCACTTGTTCCACATCTTTGCCTACATTTGGTATGATCAGCCATTCTAATATGCATATAGTTACATGTTATTTTGGCTTTAATTGATTCCAAAATGGCTTAAAATATCGAATAACTTTTCATGTGATTTTTTTAGCCAATTAAATATTTTGGTGAATATCTGTTCAAATGTGTTGCCTGTTTTTATGATTTTTTTTCTTATTGAGATGTAAGTTTTTTATTTGATATGTTTTGTGACTGATTCCAAAATGGCTTAAAATATCGAATAACTTTTCATGTGATTTTTTTAGCCAATTAAATATTTTGGTGAATATCTGTTCAAATGTGTTGCCTGTTTTTATGATTTTTTTTCTTATTGAGATGTAAGTTTTTTATTTGATATGTTTTGTGACTGTTTCCTCTGAGTCTGAAGGTTGACATTTTTTATCTTTGAAGAGAAAAAATTTTAATATAATGATGTCCATTTTTTTTCTTTTATGGCTTTTACTTTACATGTTCTATCAGAGAAAACTTTGCCTATCTAGAAATCACAATGGTGTTCTTCTTGTTTCTCTTTTAGAAGTTTTGAAGTTGTAGGCATTATAACTAATCCATTTGGTAGTAGTTTTATATATGGTATCACGTATGGGTTAAAATTATTTTTTTTTTACCATAGGAATTTCAGCATCATTTGTAGAAAAGACTAACCTCTCTCCACTAAATTACCTTCATGGCTTTGACGCCTTAAGCAACCATGAGACTACTTTATGTCTCCATAGATGGGATCATTCTGTATATTTCATATAAATGGAATAATAAAATATGTGAGATTCTGTAACTGGCTCGTTTCACTTAGAATACTCTTTTCATGCCAATGCAATTCTGCAAAATAGGAACAAATCTGGAGGCATCACTTTACTAGACTTCAGGCCATACTACAAGTCTATAATGATCAAAATTTCATGTCATTGCCATTAAAATAGGGACATAGATCCATGGAACAAAACAGAGAATCTAGAAATGAAATCAGTCTCATAATTCCATCTGATCTTTGACAAAGCAAACAAAAGCATACATTGGGGAAAATAATTCCTATTCAATAAATAGCACTGTGAGAACTAGTTAATCACATGTAGAAGACTGAAACTGGACCTGCATCTCTTACTTACAAAAATTAACTCATGATGGATAAAAGATTTAAACCTAAGATATTAAACTATAAAGACTATAGCAGAAAGGGAAAAACTCATTTATTTATTTGTTAATTTTGAGATAGGGTCTCACTCTGCTGCTCTGGGTAGAGTGCCATGGCATCATCATAGGTCACAGCAACCTCCATCTCTTGGGCTCAGGTGATCCTCTTGCCTCAGCCTCCTGAGAAGCTGAGATTATAGGAGCCCACCATGACACTAGGATGGTTTTCCTAATTTTATGAAAGACAGAATATTGCTCCTGCTCAGGCTGGTTTCAAATTCCTGAGCTCAAGCAATTCACCTTCCTCAGCCTCCCAGAGTACTAGGATACAGGTGTGAGCCACTGCACCTGTCTAACATTTCTTCTACTCTAGATTTACTCATGATGAATTATTCTCACCACTGTATGTCTACTAAATTATTTTACCAACAATATTTACCAACAATATTGAAAGGTATTTTTGTTGGGTATAGAATTCTAGGTGGACTAACTCTGTTGATGATATGATCATATACCTAGAATACCCTAAATGCTCGTCCAAAAGACTCCTAGATTTGAAAAATGAATTTAGTGGTTCACACCTGTAATCCCAGCACTTTGGGAGGCCAAGAGAGGTGGATTTAAGACCAGTCTGAACAAGAATGAGACCCCATCTCTAAAAATAGCCAAGCTTGGTAGTAGGTGCCTATTCAGGAGACCAGAGAATCACTTGAGCCTAGGAGTTTGAGGTTGCTGTTAGCTATGATGCCACAGCTTTCTACCAAGGGTGACATAGTGAGACTCTGTCTGAAAAGAAAAAAAAAGGAAATGAATTTAGTAAAGTCTCAGGTTACAATATTAACATATGCGAATTGGTAACACTGCTATACACCAATAATGATTAAGCAGGCAACTAAATCAAGAACTCAATCCCATTTATGACAGTTGACACAAAAAAACCTACAAATAACTGAGAAAGTGAAAGATCTCCATGAGGAGAATTACAAAACAGCAATGAAAGAAAGCAGAGATGATATAAACAAATGGAAAAGTACACCATACTTTTAGAATTAGAAGAATCAGTGTTGTTAAAATGATCCTACTGTCCAAAGCAATCTATGGATCCAATGCAATTATTATTAAAATACCAACATAAAATTTTACAGGATTAGAAATAAAATCCCCAAATTTATTTGCAATTAGAAAAGAGCCTGCATAGCCAAAGCAATCCTCAGCAAAAATAGAACTCATTATCTGACTTCAAATTATACTACAAGAATATAGTAACTAAAATAGCATAGTATTGGATGAAATTGGACACACAGAACAATGGAACAGAATAGAGAAATGAGAAAGAAAGCTATATATTTATAACCAATTGATTTTTAGCAAAGAAGACAAAAATATTCATGGTAGAATAAATGATGCTGGGAGCATTGGATAACCACAGGCAGAAAGAAATTAGATCCCTATCTCTCACACACAAATTGACTCAAGATGGATTTAAGACATAAAGGTAGGACCTGAAACAATAAAAATCCTAGAAGAATGCCTGGGAAAAGCTCTTTTAGACATTGGCCTAGGCAAAGAATTAATGGTTAGGACCCCCAAACAAATGCATCAAAAATAAAAATAAATAAATCAGACTTAAAATAAAGAAGCAAAGTAGTAAAAGAAATAATAAACAGAACAAACAATCTATAGAATGAAAGAAAATATTTGAAATTTATACATTTGACAGAGAACTAATCCAGAACTCAAACAACTCAGAAAGAAAATAACCCCATTAAAAATGGGTGAAAAATGTCTGAAAACAGATGTTTTTCTTTTCTGAGACAGAGTCTCAAGCTGTTGCCCTGGGTAGCGTGCTGTG